CCATCTAGTTTTTTTTCCCTTCTTATTTTAGCTATGCTCGTAGTTGTGTGATAATATCTCGTTGTGATTTTTAAAATGATGACTCTCTGTGATCTGTCAAATATTAGAGTACCATGTATTTCTACCTTTAAATAAGTAATGCATTATGATGTCCTTTTTAGAAACAAGGCAAGAAGCCCAGACAGTTAAGTAAATCTACACAGTTATAACATGCAAAAGATCTGGTTCCAGAAGAAATACTCCCTCCACAAGGTTGCATATATGTACCTAATACCTACAAATATTAATATTACATCAATAATAATAATCACAATAGATTCCCATTTAGCAATAGGAAATAACTCTAATACATCATAACTTTTATGAGTAAAAAAACATACATTATTGATAATTCAAACACATGCATATGCAATTACATACATACAGTACTATACACACAGGTACATTTTATTATAAAGGGCAGTTTATCAAGCATATTGATAGTTTACATTTAATCGCAAAGGGAGGAGCATCTAATATTTTAGAAAACACAAAATTATACCAGTAACATTACATAATTGCATAACAATGATCTGATTATAAATATTAGCTGTTCCAAGGAAGATTTCCATTTTTAAACAACTCATTGACTTTTTATTCTGTTACTGCTTGTACTTTAAAAAAACTAAATATATGATTTGGAATTTTTAGCATGTCTGATTTCTTCCCACTTTGTTGTCATGTTTACCTACCTTCTGCTGCTGAGGATCATTTTATGCATTCCTTATCTATTCCCATAGACGGAACAGGAAATTAAATGTCTTTCCATGAAAAATAGTTATTTTACTCATTCAACAAATATTTATTGCATTCCTAGCAAGCTGGGGGGAGGAGAGGGGTAGTGGTTACCACTTGAGATAACTGGCCTTGGCAAGCGTGTCACTCATGAAGTGACTTATGAGCAAAGACCTGAGAGAGGTGAGTGAGTAAACCTCAAGAGACTGAGAGGAAGAGGAATACAGGGAGTGGGACCAGCAGATGCAAAGCCCTTGAGGGGAATGCTGTATTCTGCAAGGGTGGAGAGACCCATGTAGCTGGAACACAGCAAGTGAGCGAGGAGGACACCAGAAGGAGATGAAATCAGAAAGGTAAAAGAGAGTCAGATCATATAAAAAGACAATGATTGGATCTGATTTTCAATTAAATGGGAAGCAATCAGAACGTTCTGAGCAGTAGTTGCCTGGTCTGACCTCAGTTTTAAAGGAACACTTTGTCTTTTGGAGAACTGACTACAGCAGGGCAAGAACAAAGCACAGAAACCAGTTAACAGGCTACTACAAGAGTCCAAATGAGTGATGACAGTGGTGTGGTCAAAGGCAGTAACAGTTAACATTGGTAAATGCTGTTGGATTCAGCACACATTTTGAAAACAGAGACAACAGCACTGGCTGATGGACTGCATTCAGACGTGTAAGAAAGGGAAATGATTTCAAACCCAGGACTGAAAAAGTAAAAGAAACTACAATCACTTAGTCTGGAAAACAATGAATAGCTTTAACATGAATCTTTAAGAAGCTAAAACACAGTGACATACTAAGTAGCTGGTATCCATTTTTGAGAGCCAAGAGTGAAAAATGGGAAACTGAGACTGTCATTTTCAATAACTAACTGGGAACATCTGCTGCTATCACCGAGGGAAAGTCACTGAGAATTCTGAATAAAGATCAAAATCAGAATACCATTCTCTCTCCCTGCCCTTGATGACTTTTATGTAATATATTCCCGATGAGCTATCGTAGGCTGAGATTGACAGGAATCAGCCAGAAGATGGATTAACAACAGATAAGCAGGTTGATTGAAATGTAAATAGATGAAGATTAATGCAGTGGAGAGCACGAATCAACATGCAGGAAGAGATAAGACTCAAAATAAGTAAATTGTAATTTTAAAAGTTTTGCATGCTGCAACAATTGTCTGAAATAATAAAAATCTGGGAGACCTGGCATGTAGAATACCAATTTTTGTTCATTTCTCTCAGAAAATTAAGGATGCTGTGAAGATCAAAACCATTTGTTATGAATATAACCTAGTGTTTCAAGACTAAGAATAATGCTTTTAAAGAAATTCAGGACAATTTTGAAGAACCAGAGACATTGGAATTTTAAGTGGTACCGAACAACTTCCCCTAGATTTCAGTGTCCCCACCATCTGAGATTCAAGAGTAAAAGACACAGTGCTAGGCTAACAGGGTTCTCAGGATTCCATCAGTGACGGGAACACTGAAAAAGCCAACTTGGGCAAATACTCAAAGGTACCGTCCTTTAGGTTTATTCTCAAAGTTATCTTACATGGGGTTTCTACACTGTTTAATAAATGCTTATTGAATGAATAAATGAAACTTTCCACCACTGTTGGGATGGGGCAGGGTAGGAAGAAAAACACCTCCATTTTCATATCCTTCTTTCCCAAGGCAAACCCAATGTATTTCGCTAGTTACGATTCTAGTTTAGTGTTACAATCCAGAGCTTTGAAGCCTATAGCTTCTAAAGAAATGAACACACAAAAAAGACTAGAGACTATTTTGGAATTTCTTTTAAAAGTACTTCAACATTTATTAACACTTATTAATAGAGTCCATTTGCAATATTATCTTCTTGCTCCTCACACCATGTAAGAGTATAGACCTACCTTATCTAAGCACTTCTGAAATCCTAAAACTCTCCTATGAAATCACAAGCCATGTGATATCCCTCTCAACATTGAAGATAAGCGAAGATTAAATGAGAGTCAAAATAGCCCTCTACTATTTTCATAGATGGCCTTTAAGAAAGAGAATACAATGGTAAATCAAAATTTGGGAACACAGTGATATGCTGGTGAAATAATTCATTGCTCATTTTTCTATTCCAATTTGTTGACACACTGTCTCCTCTATTCCTCATGAGTAGGGTACAATCTTCATGATTCCCTTCTCTGGAACTGAGATAATCTAAGGACAAGTGAGTGACCAAAAATATCCTATTAATATGACTACTCAGCCACATCACAGTATCCATTCCAAGATAAAAACCATAACTCTATTTAATAGCACAAAGCCCTACATTTATTTGCATCTTACAAGAGATCATTCAGGAGACTGAAGCAGCTAGCTAAATCATCTTGACCTTATTTAATTTACCATTCTTTTCTTACATTAGTTCTGCTGCAGAAATAGGACTGAAATTCCCTTTCAATAACTCCCTGACAACTTAGGATCAGAAAGAATAAATTTACTTTGTTGATTCCCCATATTCCACAAAGAAACAGAACCAGTAATTGTAATACCATTTAATATTAAACCTACCTTCTCTTGCTTCTATTTTTACAGCAAGATAAATGTTGACCAAAAGTACACTATGTGATTTTTCTTTTGTTTCAATGTTCTTTTATTGTATTTGTTTTGAGAGGGGGGAATGTGTTCTAGAGACAGACACCTCTGAGATAAAACATTGCTTTTTAGAAAACAGTTGGCAAATGCTGACTTAGAACAAAGTTAAGAAAAAGCTAAGTATAAATGATACAAAAACCTTAGTTATATCTCTGAGACTATATCTAGAGGGAACTAACATGTTTACCACAGGAATTCAGTTGTTAACTTGCTTATGCAGAGTTCTTCTGTTGAGAAATGATGATGGTTCTCAGCTCAGAAGTTCTCCTGACTCAGCATAAGGTTTTGTTTTCTTTCTTTTTCCTTTTTTTTTTTTTTTTTTTTTTTTTTTGAGATGGAGTTTTGCTCTTGTTGTCCAGGCTGGAGTGCAATGGCGCATTCTCAGCTCACTGCAACCTCTGCTTCCCAGGTTCCAGCAATTCTCCTGCCTCAGCCTCCCAAGTAGCTGGGATTACAGGTGCATGCCACCATGCCCAGCTACTTTTTGTAATTTAATAGAAACGGGGTTTCACCATGTTGGCCAGGTTGGTCTCAAACTTCTGATCTCAGGTGATCCAGCAGCCTCAGCCTCCCAAAGTTCTGGGATTACAGGCATGCGCCACTGTGCCTAGCCTGGTTTTGTTTTATTTCTGTTTGGTGACAGGGGAGTTTGATTTAAGCCTCTCCAGGAAATTCCTATACAGGTCCCAGGGTGGTCTAGGCAGCAATATCTGATAAAAATAAAATGTGAACTATATGCATAGCTTTAATTTTTTAGTTGCCACATTTGACAAGGCAAAATCAATTTTTAATATTAATATCTTTCATTAATCCACTATATCCTAAATATTATTTCAACATGTATTCCATATATTACACAAAAATTAATGAGATATTTTACATTATTTTTTCATGCAAAGTCTTTGAAATCTAGTGTGTATTTTATACTTGCAGACACATCTCAATTTGAACTGGCCACATGATGAGTGCAAAATAGCCATATTGCAGTAAGCCGTGTCCATATTGGACAGCACAGGCCCTAGAAAAGAATCTATGGAATTGCTTAATGGGTAGGCAGTGAGTTGTAGGTTGACAATAATAAAATCTCTCTGCTGCAACTAGGTGATCAGAAAAAAGACAACTGGAGAGGCCCACATGGTCTTTGACCTGGACGCATCTAATAATTCTCTAAGTTCTGGTTATTATAAAAATTTAACTCTTCTCTAATCATTACAGCCCCAGGCATTTAACCCATTAATGTGCCAAGAGCTCTGTAAATAAATTTGTATTTTGCCACATATGTGGAAAATATTAATCTACCTTTTCTTACTACACTGAGCATCTTGCTTTCTTGCATCTTACATTGCCTACATCTCTTATATTCCCTTTGGGCTTTGTCGCTATACTGTATTGAAGAAATTCAGGTTTAAATTCAATTCAGAACTCTAGCTCTCATCTTGAAATCTAATTATGAACTACACCTCAAGATAAATTTCTAAAATAACACCTCCACTTACTGAGAACCTTTGTACTAAATATTCTGCTAGGCCCTTCATAAATAAAACCTCCAACCCACCAAAGACAGGCCTTATTACCCTCATGACAGCAAACTAACCTGATGCCAGAAGAGGTTAATAACCTGCTCAAGGATCACATGAATAGTTTTGGCTACCCCTAATCTTCATGACTTTCCACAACCCTTCTTTGCCTTGGTTGAATAACAGTAGACAATGTCCTCTTATACCTAAATTGTCCACCCAAACATCAGTATCTTTCCATAGCCTGAATTCTGAACACCAATTCCTACTTTATTCCTTTAGGAACAGAAACCAGCAAGGAAGCAACAACCATCTGTCACTATTGAGCTTGCAAGGAGCAGGGGAATAACTTTCCTTCATCAAAGTCCAAGATAAAGAAATTCACTGAGTGCCACCCACATTACACAATCCTCCCACCCAGGTGTCCATTTACATGCCCAGAAGTCATTTTAATTGCAAATTAGAGGTTACCCCTGATAATATGGCCCTCCTATTCCATTGTCAGGGCACTCTGGTCCCCAAAGTCATTAGTGCAAACTTGTTTCAATTGCTTTTGACTCTGCCTGCACACACAGATTTCTCTGTAGGGACCTCTGCTATAACAAGTTTCTGCTCCCCACACATAGACTGTTGCTAAGGAGAAAAGAGTTCTGCCTCTGTAATTACTACAGTACCTGAAATTCTTCTGTAATCTCTACCAGTCCTTTACTTAACATCAAGAGCCCCTTTCTGCTTAAAACTGTAACGTGTGCTTTTTGCACTCCTAAGCAAGGCTCATCAAAATTTTTCTGATGCAAGGTTGTCTGAATCAGAAAAATTTTCAAGCTAATTTTATCTCCAAAACCTCTTTGTTTTTCAAAACATTCAACCCCTCCCCAGGGATGGTTTTGCCCCCACAGTTAGGCAAGATGAATCCTGAAGCCAGTTGTCTGAGACTGTATTAGTCAGGGTTCTCTCGAGAAACAGAACCAGTAGGATATAGAGAGATATATATAAAATGAGATTTATTCTAAGAATTGGCTCATGCAGTTAGGGAGGCCAAGAAGTCCCACAATCTGTTGGAGAGCCAGGAAAGTTGGTGGTGTAATTCAATAAGAGTCCAAAAGCCTGAGATAGGGGGTCAGGGGGATTGATGGGATCCCAGTCTAAGTTAAAAAGCCCAAGAACCAGCAGCGCCGACGTCCAAGGGCAGAGCAGGAGATGATGGATGTCTAAGCTCAAGCAGAAAGAGAAGAATTTACCCTTTCTGCGCTTTTCTTCTATTCAGCCCCTCAGTGAACTGCTGATGATACCCACCTGCACTGGTGAAGACACTCTTTTCTACTCAGTCTATGGATTCAAATGTTAATCTCCTCTAGAAACATCCTTACAGACACAGCCAGAAGTAATGTTTTACCAGCTATCTGAGCAACCCTTTGCCGAGTCGGGTTGATGTATAAAATTAACCAGCACAGAAACCTTGCTCCTCAAAGGTGCTCACAGACCAGCGGCATCTGCATCAACTGGAAGCTTGTTGGATGTGAAGAATCTACATTTTACCATCAACTCCAGGTGATTCATATCCACATTAAAGTGTGATAAGCCCCAGTTCTACACAAAGCTAAAAAGAATATGCAAGATGATTTCGTAAATAACCAGGAAGTTGATGCAAACTGCAGTTTTTCATTTAACTTCTGTTAAGCAATGAATTATTAGGCTTTGTTTGTAACCCTATTTTTCTAGACTAAAATTGGACTAAAAATGAAATAGTTTCCAGAGAAAAAACTAAACTTCCTAATGTGATCTTAAAATCTTGCCATTGCCTCAGTTAGTAAAGTAAAAGTTTACAGTCTGTGACCCATTGCTTACCGCACAAAAAGAGAGGCACTAACTACTAAAAGATTTCTGCAAAGAAGCATTAGGACAATGCATGAAGTAACTGTAAAGCAAGCAAACAAACAAATGTCTTCTCATAATTAGCAAGCCCTATGTACTTTCCTTTTATAATCACTGCAAATATTATTAGAATGATTTATGAGAGATACAATTTCATTAAATAACTGCATCCATTTGGGTCAAAGTAAGGAAATATAAAAAAGGTTGATTTTAAAGCTATGTGAAACTGTTTTACAGGAAAAAAAAATGTAGCTAAAATTTCCTGAGTTTAGCCTCCAGTGTTTTTGTGTTGGAAAATACATTTGTAAAATACAAACATCTAAACAGCAAGGCCTGTATATTAATTAGACAAAGTGAGTCAATTTGGAGTCATTTTATTATAAACAACACTCTTCACATTGTTGTCCCAACAAAAAAGTGGGAATCATATTTTTTCTAATGTGAAAATGTATATTTCACTTCCTACTATTTCACTATCCTACTCAAGGCAGTCATTTCTTTACTTATAATCATTCAGTTGTTTAAAAACACGAAACACCAAGTTCACAATGAACATGTATAAAAAGAGTGATAGCTTCCAATTTTTTTTATAAAAGCAGTTCATGCTTAAAGATACTATATCCCATACTTTAAAAAAGATAGTAATGTTGGTTTTGAAAACTTTAATATTCTGATCACTAGGTCTAATGGTCTAACACTGAGAAAACCTAGAATATAGATGAAAAGATGCCACAGTATTCAAAAAGAGATTGTCAAGAAAATCAGTGACCAAATAGCCAAATACTCTCTAAAAGTTACACTGTTTTCAATAATATAAACATTCCCAAAGATCAAAATATACGTTCATTATTTGTCTATTAACACACAATATGACTTAAGAATCCTATTTTTCTTGATGCATATCTCCCATTCTTGAAACAGTAAAATTTTAAAAAGACATAGGTCTTTTTTCAAGAGTCACCTCTTGAAAAACCCCTGTCCTACCAACCTATTCAAAATGGTAGCCCCAACTTGTCACTCTTCATCCCCTCACACTTAGCACCCGCTAATCTAATATTCACATACAGCTTTCTAGTACAAATGCTGTGATTCTTTTCCTAAGAGCTTTCTCTAGCTGAGGAGTTGTGTTCATTTTGGCACAGGGGGAAGGCTGGAAATGACCCTGGGCAGCTCTCAACCAGACGGATCAGAGTTAGTGGGAAAGGAATCAACCTGTGTCCTTTTACAGGAAAATTCTGAGGCATGTTCTACACTGGTCCTCAGTGGATTGGGCCCTAGTTGCACAGAGTTGTAGTTTCACTCTGTGAAAACAAACCATTTATTGGCTTCCTTCATGTCTCTGTCTCACTTTCCTATTCTTCTACCAGTATTTCCTGCGATCATCTTTCCAATAAATCACTTGCACTCAAATCTTTGTCATGGTGTCTGCTTCACAAGGAATCCAAGATAGCGTCCATCCCAGCTCCTAGCACAGTGCCCAGCACGTGGTAGATGCTCAATAAATATTTGTTGAATGATGAGTGCACATGCATAGTTAACCTTCACCTTGGCAATGCTGCTAACCAAGAAGCATTTTGCATCTTGCCTGAAAGCTTGTTTTACATACAGATGATTAGCCCTTGTTTCCAACTACAACATAGATTCTGAGAGGGGCCTGAGATCTGCATAGCCCCGTTTTGGGCAAAAGTGCTAATTAACGGATAGGTGCTCCAACCTGAGCTGTAGCATATGAAGGCTCTGTGTTTGCATTAAAACTCTGCTATCACTGTCTTGAAATTTTTTTTTCTCTTTTTTTTTTTTGAGATAGGGTCCTGCTATGTCACTCAGGCTGGAGTGCCGTTCACTGTAGCCTCAACCTCCCAGGCTCAAGCAATCCTCCCACCTCAGACTCCTGACTTACTGGGACTACAGGTGTGCACCACCATGCCCAGCTAATTTTTTTGTTTGTTTGTTTTTGTAGAGACAGGGCCTCACAATGGAGACCCTGGGAGGTCAAGGATGCAGTGAACGGTGATCACACCTCTGCACTCCAGCCTGGGTGAGACAGCAAGACCCTGTCTCAAAAAAAAAAAAAAAAAAAAAAAAAAATCCAGACTCTGACGGCTATCTTTAAACCAAACACAAAACACAGGCAGGACCTTTCTGAGTCTAGAACTCTGTGCAATTCCATAGGTCACACACTCATGAACCTGGCTCTGCCAAAAACTCATCAAGAAGAAACTGCCAAAGACCTCCTAAGAAACCTCCCTTGGCACTGATTATTCTCAAAGAGAAATGACAGTGTGATCTTTTATATTAGGTTAAGTCATCACAAAACTATATAAGGTGTAACAGCAGAAATACCTGTGGGCAGCTCTTCAGAGCAGTTCGGCTCATATCACCTCAAACTTCCCAAGCCCCCATGGAATCAATCATGGCACACAGCTCCCCGCTGCTGGCTCGATGGCTCACTCTGCTAAGAACTCCATAACTGCAATTACCTTGTTGAGTCCCACTGTTTAAACACACAATTATATAGCTGAAAGAGATAGGGAACCTGCTTTTAGATGCAAAAGGTCTCAGGATCTATTTCAAGAAAAATCCATTCCCGTTAATCACTCAGTGGTCTGGTGGTGGCACAGCTAAAAATTCAGAAAGGTTTGGCAGAAAAATGACAGAGGAGCAAAATGGCCTGCTAGCATCATACCTAAGCTCTAAGAATGTGTATATTAAAAAAAAAAACATACAGAATGAAGTAATATCTGGACATAGTCATGACCACAGCAGACCTATAGAAATATATTTGAGATAGAAAAATGGTTTAGCACCACCTGTACCTGTGAGATGCTTAATATACATTTTGGAGGTGCTGGAGAGGAGAAGGGAGAATCGGTCTGTATTGTAGATCCCTAACAGAGGGACTTGGGGTGTGTATTTCCAAACAAAACTAACCACAGACCATTGATTTGCCATATAACTGGTAGGACTAGGTACAAACAGGACAGATGGAGAAATAGCAACTTAGAACTCACTTACAATCCAACTAACCACTGATTGTGTTAGTCTGTTCATGATCCTATAATAAAAAAGCACAGACTGGGTAATTTATAAATAATATAAATTTATTTCTCACAGTTCTGGAGGCTGCAAAGTCCAACATCAAAGCACTAGCAGATTCAGTGTCTAGTGAGGTCCTGGTCTCTGCTCCTAAGAGGGCACCTTGAATACTGTGTCCCTATGTGGTAGACGGTTAAAAAAAAAAAAAAAAAAAAAAAGCCTATCTAGTTCCCTCCAGCCCTTTTATAAAGTCACTAGTCCTAAAGATCGCCTCCTAAAGATC